GTTCTCTAGTGAGAAAATACAAGGTCTTTGAAATGCAGCAACAATACGGTCAGCAGTTAGAGTAAACTCTGTTAAAAAGCCCCAGTTTTGACTAATCAACTGCAAAAGTTTAGAAGACATTGTTCAGCAGCTAAGCTCCTCTTCCTCCTGTCTTCCTGTTTTACCAACAAGTTTTATTAAAACAGTTTTTGTAGAGTCTGATTTGCTTCATTTTATAAACACATCCTGTATGTTGGGTAATTTTCAAGAGAAGTTTGGACAAATTGCTCCTGCAGAACTAGAGCTTTGAAAGATATGAATATGCTTCAGAATCAGTATTTAAATTTAACCTAAGCTTAATATGCGCCAGTTAGATGGCTCCCTGATTGATTTTAAACTCTACTCTTCATCAGTAAAGTTATAGAAAAATGTGTTTCAGCAGTTGCCTTCTTAACAATGACCACCAGCTTTAGTGTCTTTCAGTCAGGTTTCCAATCCAACCACAGTACAGTATAGAGACTACCCTGATTAACGTGTTTAATGATATCCATATAAATTCCAACTGTGGAAAAACCACAGTACTGCTATTAATGTTTAAATCCTACCTGAAGGACAGGGACTATGTGTCATTATGGAGCTTTAAATCAGATAGCAGAAAAATAATGTTTGGGGTTCCTCAAGGCTCACTTCTGGGGCCCCAACAACAACAGTTATCATAACTAAGCAGATGACACACACAGCTTTACATCACAATATCACCAGGTGATTATTGGCGTGTCAGAGATGTATTTTCTAAATGTGTAGAGCAAATCAATGTGTGGATATGTGGAATCAGTAATTCACCAAGTCTCTGGGACAATTATAACAATTATTATCTCTGTGCCAGTTGGTTGGTTTCAGTGATTCCAGGAAAGACCCTCCTCTTTGAATGGAGGTAAATATGCTGTTTCTTTTTTATGTGGGTCAGTTTTATACAGTAGTAGAATGTGTTTCCAGTTTGAGTAGGATATATATAGAAATATGGGGCGCTAAATTTAGTTTGAAGGTTAATAAAAAGTGATAAAATAGGACAGAGTTTTGAGGAAATACTGTGTTTTCTTTAAAACCGCTGTTGTGTCACAACATGGTATAAACCACAGAGTGGGGCCAGTAGATGTTGAAGGGTTTAACTAAACACTTTAATTAATTTAATATGAATACTGACAATGAGGAATGTGTGCTTTACCTCCTTTCAGAGATCTGACCAAAGAGATCAGTTTGTTTTTGGGAAACTCTTTAGTTCCTAATAAGGTTACACTTTTCAAATCAAGTCTTTTAAATAAACCGCAATCTATACTTTTAACGCTAGATGGCAGCAGAAGCTCTATTTTCCCCTTCGTTTGTGGATGTGCTGCTGCTGTGGTTGTCCTGCGGCCTGCAGATATGAATATTTAATAACCAACCGCTGTTGCAGCAGGAATAGAAGAGGACGGCCCAAATAAAACAGTTCAACAGGCTTCAACATCCAGCTGCAATGTTTTACCTCTGTCTGAAAAGAATGCCAGCAACCAGACTGAACACATGCATATATATTTTGCACTCACTGAGTGCAAAATATATATTCTTTCAAACAAGTTTCTTTCTATTTTCTATCTGTAAATTATTTCTTAATAAACAAATAAAGGAAACTATTTTAAGTAATTTGTGCAAAGATGAGAAACATATTAACACGATACACATATTCTAGTTTGTTGCTTTATTATCTGAACTGGTATACCCAAAAGATTAGTCAAATTATCAATCAACTTGGATGACAAGTAGATAAAACTGTGCATAATATTACACTGTCATAACGGCTCTCATAGCGCCCACCCAAGGATCAGGACTGCAGTGCTTTAAAGTTAAAACAGTCTTATCCTTTGCTTCAGTACAATCTTTTCCCAACTCACGGCCATTGTGGCGTGACTGTCCCTTCATGTGTTAGAAAATCACTTTCTGTTTCTGCTCCCCCTGGCTCTGAGTCACAGACAACCCACATTTTGGCCAGGGCTCCTCAAGAACTGCGGGGCTCTGGGACATCTGCAATGCAGGAGTCTAAATTTAGCATCAGAGGTACAGGGAGAGGAGGAGAAGGAGAGGGAGACAGACAGACACGGAGACAGAGGAAAGACGAGAGGACAACCAACACCAATGATACAAATTCTGCAACAGTATTTCACTTGTTTCATCATATTGAGTGCTAAGTTTTCTCTAAATTTTTCAGATTCTGTCTCTGTCTCTACAAACTGAGAACCTTCCCATTACTGAGCAGAACAAAAAAGACCTCTTAGAAAGTTAGATATATTGTGTATT